CCCCCCCCCGCCCAATGACTGTCCCCCTGTGTACACAGCTCCATACAGACATGGTGTGACCAGCTTGGGGGAGGAACTCGAGTGTCCTGCACAGAGCCCCGACCTCATACCTACTGAACACCTCCGGGATGAACTGGGGATTGGGAGCCGGGTCTCCTCCAACATCAGGACCTGACCTCACCAATGGGACAAATTCCCCCAGACACCCTCCAAAATCTCCCAGAAGAGGAGGATGATACAGACAGAAAGCGGCAACTCCATATTATTGGAGGACAAAGTGTGAGAGCACCAAACACACACAGGTGTGGAGACAGCTAACTGAGGATCACTTTCACAGCCGTATCATCTGATAGTTTATTGGACCTGCTGAATTTTTTAAGAGTCTATTTGCACAAAAAAGTGCTATTTCCTGTATAGATGAAGATGCAGTAACTTTTGATGTTCCCGAAATCCAGTGTGCTCCGACCTTCCTCTATGACATGACAACACAGTTCTAAATTCCTGAGTTCTTGGTGTCAGCCATGCCTACCTCATTTTTGATGGATTACAAAGAACACAGACCCCTCCTCATCTCCTTCCCATCCTCATCTCCATCACATCCTCATCTCCTTCCCATCCTCATCTCCTTCCCATCCTCATCTCCTTCCCATCCTCATCTCCATCACATCCTCATCTCCTTCCCATCCTCATCTCCTTCCCATCCTCATCTCCTCCCCCTCCTCATCTCCTCCCCCCTCCTCTTCTCCTTCCCATCCTCATCTCCTTCCCCATCCTCATCTCCTTCCGCTCCTCATCTCCATCCTCATCCCCTTCCCATCCTCATCTCCTTCCCCTCCTCATCTCTTCCCCCTCCTCATCTCCTTCCCATCCTCATCTCTTCCCCCTCCTCATCTCCTTCCCCTCCTCAAATCCTCATCTCCATCCTCTTCTCCTTCCCCCTCCTCATCTCTTCCCATCCTCATCTCCTTCCCATCTCCATCCCCCTCCTCATCTCTTCCCCCTCCTCATCTCCATCCTCATCTCCTTCCCCATCCTCATCTCCTCCCCCTCCTCATCTCTTCCCCCTCCTCATCTCCTTCCCCTCCTCATCTCCTCCCCCTCCTCATCTCTTCCCCCTCCTCATCTCCTTCCCCTCCTCATCTCCTCCCCCTCCTCATCTCTTCCCCCTCCTCATCTCCTTACCATCTCCTTCCCCCTCTTCATCTCTTCCCCCTCATCTCCTTCCCCTCCTCATCTCCATCCTCATCCCCTTCTGCTCCTCATCTCCTTCCCCCTCAACCTTCTCCTCCCACCTCCTCTTCTCCTTCCCATCCTCATCTCCTTCCCCATCTCATCTGCTTCCCATCCTCATCTCCTCCCCCTCCTCATCTCCTTCCCCTCCTCATCTCCTTCCCCTCCTCATCTCCATCCTCGTCTCCTTCCCCTCCTCATCTCCTCCCCCTCCTCATCTCCTTCCCCTCCTCATCTCCTCCCCCTCCTCATCTCCATCCTCATCCCCTTCCCATCCTCATCTCCTTCCCCTCCTCATCTCTTCCCC